TGGTGTTTGTAAATAGGATCACAAGTCCGCATCTTGTACAGCAATTAACCACTAAGAAGAATATATGCAGTGTATTATTTGTTGAAACTCTACTTCCGATTTGATTTGATACTGTCTCATTGCTATATGTTTATCAATAAAACTGTAGGAAAAAAAAATAAATGATCCTCAATCAAGTTACCAGTGGCAAGGATGAAGAAATAGACCTTGCTTCTGTCCATAGGAGGTTAATGCTTTGCCCGCCTGGACACATCCTATGAAGTTCTTAAAGCACAACAGGAAAACCTGTAGTCACTTACATGACTACATGGCCTTAAACCTGACAGTGAAATTATTATATGAATTTTTCCATTTAATTCTGCAAACCCTTCTGATATTGATGAGTTACACTTTTTGGTAGAAGGTAGGGAAATAGTCAGATGGAAAGTACAAGTTAAGTGTCTTAAAAGCTTTGAGTCCACAGTTGATATTTTTGCCTGATACAGCTGTAAAGCTTATTTAAATGAATATTTACTAATTTCCTGAAACTGACTGACATTTCTGGCAACAGGGTGACATTTTAGTCCTGAAACATTCACGTGCTCTAATTCAATGGATAGCCCCACTGAGGTTGCTTCATGTAATAGGGTTTAAAGCACCGAGTAACTTTTCCCCTCACCCATAGTTTCTGTCTTTATCCTGGAGTCTTGTTCATATAGGATGTTGTCTCTTTCAGCTGCATCCCTTTTTGAAGAACGGCCAATTTAACAATCCAGCTGGAGACCAAGTGAACTTTGATCACAGCAGAAAACTGGATTCAGAATATGACATTATCAATTTTTGGAATTTTCCAGAAGGCCTTAGATATAAAGTTAAACTAGGAACATTTTATTCACATGCTACTAATGGTCAAAAAATGACATTATCGGAGAATATGATAGAGTGGGCCACAGGAATTACAGAGGTGTGTCATATGTAATCAACATGCACTTTCTTAACCACAAGTAGGTAAATCCTGTCAGTGGTTTGTGCCTCCAAGTTTGCTCATGGAATGGCCACATGTGGAAACTGAACAACTCAATTTCAATGTAAAAAATGGTTTACAAGCTTTCTGATGAATGGGAATGTAATGCATTTACTTAATTACATTTTTGTAAATATATGTTTTATGTTATGAAATAAATTTATTTTAATTTGAAGAGTAAAAACAGCAAAAACAAATAGCAGAAACAAAGACATAAACAGGGTAACGTATAACAATGCATATGTTACAGATTTTCAAATAATAACAAATTAACAATGGTTGTCACATTACCTACTTTTATTGTCAAATCTGTTGCTCAGATTAACAGATAAAGCTATGCAAGATGGGAAAAATAATTGAATATTAACACTTCTATTCGATAAGTCTTAATTTTGTTCTTGTCTTTTTCCTTTTATTAAATTTATTTTTAAAAGAGTACAATGATTGATAAGGTATTAGAAACAGTACACACTTGGAAAACCAAGATGAGAGGTATTCAACAATTACACATTGTTGACCTCAATGTAGCTGCTTAGATCCCAGCCATCAGCATAAAGTAGTAAAAGTAAAGATTCTAAACATTAACTGCTATTTTCCAAAAACTGATGGAAATTATTAGTTCAGTCACCTCATCCATCCTGTATATATACGTGCATGATTCTTCCCCTTTCCTAGTTTTCCTATCTTTTCTTCCTTCCCTCATCTTTGTTGTTTAATGATTAAATTCAGTTTCTTTCCATTTTACTATATGTATTATATCTTTCAGGTTTTATTTATTTTTCAAGTTCTTGCACTATGTAGACAATACAATATTTTTATGTGTGGGTCTGATTTATTTTATTTATGATCATAGCCTCTAGTTGCATCCACTTACCTATAAAGGCCTCAAGTTTGACTTTCTTTATAGCTGAATAATATTCCATTATATAAAAATACCACATCTTTGTTATTTCTTCCTCTAATGATGGGTAGTTTGGTTGATTTGAAATTTGGCTATGATGAATTGTGCTGCTATAAATAAGGGTGCACATATATCACTATGGTATGATGTTTTCAGATCCTTTGGGAAAATACCCAGAAGGGGAATAGCTGGGTTGAATGGAATTTCCAGTCCTAGTTTTTAGAGGTGTCTCCACACTGATTTCCAAAGTGGTTGTATCAGTCTAAATTACTACCAACAGTGCAGAAGGGTTTCCTTTTCCCTCCTGCCACTCCAGCATTTTGTTTGAGCTGATTTCTTCAATGGTCATACTTTCTGGGGTGACATGGTATCTCAGTTTTATTTTAATTTGAATTTCTTGAATATCCAGTGGAACATTTTTTCATGTATTTATTTGCCAATTTTATTTCTTCCTCTGAGAAGTGTGTATTCATTTCAGCCGCCCATTTTTAGATTGTGTCATTCAATTTGCGGGTCCTAATTTTTTTCAGTTCTTTATATTTTCTAGTAAGATCACTTTTTCTGAGTAGTTGTTGGTTAGCTTCCCTTCCCCCCCCCCAATTTGTGGGCTGTCTTTTTACTCTGTCGGTGATTTCTTTGCATGTGCAGAAACTTCTCAGTGAGATCCCAGTTGTTGATTTTTCAAGTATTTTCTGTGCAGTTTGGGTTTTGTTCATGAACTTTCTGTCTACCTCTGTGTCTTCAAGATTTCCCCCTATTTTCTCTTCCAGTAGATTTAATGTTTCTGTTTTAATCATTAAAAATTTAATCTATTATGATTTTTTTAAAAAGCAAAGTATTTTATTTTTAATCTCAAAATATAAACTTGCAATGCATGAAGATAATTTTGGGAAGTGTAAGAACAGTCATTTTCTAATAACTAGATTGACACTGTCCAATATGGTGACTACTGGCCCCATTGGGATATTTGGGACTAATCTAAATTGAATCATTTTTTTTTTTTGCGGGAGGTGGTACCAATAATTTTTTCTTCCATAATTTCACTGAGAAACAAATAGCAGTGAGACAGTTTCAAATCAAATTGATAGGACAGTTTCAAGAATTAACACATTGCATAAACTTTTCCTACTGGTTATTTGCTGTACAAGATGCAGACATGATACACTATTAACAAACACTATTAGAACAAATCCCTCTATTCATTAAGAGAATGTAACTATATATCTATCCTAACCATTTTGAA